TTCTTGGATGTTCAGAACTCTTTTCAAATATCCGTCAGCTTTCTCATATTGATGCATATTACGGCAAATTGCAGCTAGTTTATTCAGAGGAGTCGCTACGTCAGGGTGTTCATCATTAAATGCTTGCTTTAGAATTGAGAGTGCCCTTTCCAAAGGTTTTTTAGCTTCATCATACTTTCTCATATCAAGCAAGGTGTCGCTCATTAAGTATAGAGTATCAACTAGCTCTGGGTGAATGGTGTTGTAAGCGTCCTCTTGTATGGCAAGCGCTTTCTGTAAAATATGCTTTGCTTCCTCTGATTTACCCTTATCATAGAGAACATCACCAAGTCCCTTAAGAGTATTCGCAAAGTTTGGATGAGTTTTTTTATGGAATGGAGCTACTTTCTCTTGAATGGTTTGAGCTTTTTTCAGGTATATTTCTGCATCTTTGTACTTGCCCATTAAGCGCAAAATTTCACCCAATTCGTTAATACTATTAATTATTCTGGGATCATTCTCGCCGTAAGCATTTTGTTCGTTACGGAGGGCCTGTTCATAACATTCTTTAGCTATATTCAATTGGCACATTGCGACGTGTGTCTTACCTAGGTTCTTCAGGGTATCGGCAAAACTTGGGGACTCTTTTTTTTGTATCTCTAGCGCCCTTGATAAATTAGTTTTCGACTCCTTGTATTGACCCATTTCACGCATGATTTCACCTCGAGTATTCAGCAAAGTGACTAGTTTCTCTGCTTGTGTGTCATTTGGCATCCCGTCTTGGATTTTTAGAGCTGTTTCTAGGCATCGTTTGGCGTCATCGTATTTTCCCATCATACAGAGAGTCTTTCCCGCATAGTTCAGGGCATCTCCTAAGCTTGGGTGCATTTCCTTTTCCTTCAGATTCAGCACCTCCTTCGCTTTTTCGATGTATTTTTCGGCATTATCATATTGTCCCTTATCCCAAAAAAGTTTCGCCAGTGCATATAGTGAGAAATCCAAGATTGAAATAATAAAATTGTATATTCTATCTTCAATGGCAAGTGCTGCTTCAAAATGTGTTTTGGCTTCTTCGTCATTTTTCATTAAACAAAGTGTTTCTCCGATTTTATTATGTGTACTAGCCACCAACGGATGACTATTACCATACATTGTTTCTTGAATCCCTAATGCCTCTTCAAAGAAACTTTTTGCACGCATAAAATTCTTTTGATTGAGGCAACTGTTTCCGAGAGTAATAAGCTCGTTGGCTTTACCACCTTTGTCGTAAACGTTTACATTGTGCATTGGCGTCTGAGTGTTATCTGTTTGCCGACAGAAACTGAACGTTTGTTGTCTCTTCCTAATAGCCGATGCTCTCTCAGAACGACCTTCGGCTGGTTTATTTTGGTCCAGATTACGAAAAACTTTGCTCAATGAATTTAAAGTTTCAGCTATTGATAAACAGCTTCTGTTAAATTCCTTCTCTTGAATTTTGAGAGATATCTTGTAAAAGATCCGACAAGCATCATACTTTGCATAGTAACTGCAAATGTCTCCTATCTTTAGCAAGGAAGCTATAACATGAAAGATGTTTACGCTGACAGAGATGGCTAAATCACTTGGATCATCAAAAATATCACTTATCTTTGAGGAAATACTTAAAAAGTGTACAATAAGCCGTTGAGTTTCAAGTATACCCTCGATATATTCCAATGCTTCTACTGAAGTGACGGGATCAATGAAGGCCAAAACAACGTTTATTATTAATATGTCAACTTTGAATTCGATCTCGTCCACATTTACAGTGCTTTGCAGGCAACTGTGTACAACTTGGTGCACACGAACCTCTTGTACTTCATCTTTTTCAGAGGACAGTACGAGTGAGGAGGAACGAATAGTCGAAGCCACACAATCTTCGTCTTCATCCGACAAACAGTTCATCACATACTGGACAACATACTGGAGGGGTATTGGTTCAGGTGCGATGACAGATAGGAACTCAAAAGCATGTCTCATGACTTTGTCTTCACTTACTTCTTTATCTACGGCCATTCTTACCGCCGCTGTCATTGTCTTCTTATACGTTAAGCTTGTCTTTTTGTATTCCTTCTCTGTTGCCTCTCGCTTGCCTTCTTCGAGCTTTTGCAGGTATTTAGTCCAGTCGGTACTTTTAATATGCTTCATGTAAACAGCAGCACATGCCAAAGCCAACGGCTGGAAATCTAGAGCCTTGGCTACTTGAAGGGTGATATCGTTATGACAAGACATCCCAGATATATCACACAGTGCCTTGACAGCATCATTAGGATCCATGCCTTGCTTTAAAGATAATTGGTAAGTGTGTGGATCAGAAGGAATGGAAGAGCTGTCTTGGGTAGTAACAAGAATCTGTCCCACACCACTTGTCTTCTCGCCTGCTTGAGGCCAGTACTTAGAAACTGACTTGAGATCTGAAACGTTATCTACAACAATCAGCCAGGATGAATATCCTTCCACTTTTGGGGCAACAAGACATTTCAGGTCGTTAACTTTTCCTTCCTTTGAAAGATTCTCAGATGTACTAATCTTTACTATAGACTGTTCATCACACCTTAATTTGCATGCAAATTCGACATATGACTGCAAAAGCGTATCAATGGTGGATGCATTTACCGTCATCACAAAATTCATTTCTGTGCTCTTTTCATCGAAGAATCGTTCTCCAATTTGCCTGGCCACTTCACTTTTCCCACAGCCTGGGTTTCCTGACAGATACACTACAGTTACCTCGTTGCTCTTTGTGTTCCTTAGACGCTCCATTTCTTCATTGATTTGGTCTACTTCATTCAGTCGACTGACAGTTTCGTGGGATGGTTTGGCTGGCAAAACACAAAAGGGTCGTGGYTCCTCATTACGTTTCTTTTCCTTCTCCAACTGCTTCTTAATATCTTCCAGCTCTTCTGTTGGAAAGCTTGTCTGGTTCCTGATTTCTTCGATTTCAGTTGTATCGAGTTTCAGGTCTGTAAATGAAGTGATGACTTTGTCGATGGACGTCTTCAAATCGGCTTCCTTGAGTTTTCCATCAGTTGTGTGAGCGAAGACTTCGTTGCGAAACTTCCTCAACTCGTCAACACTTTTCTTAACATTTAAAGTTGGTTTAATGCTATTCGAGTAAAGAATGCCATGGAACAGGCAAGTGCAATCCCATTCATTTGTATTTCCATTTTTCATGATAGAAAGTTCTCTTGATTTAATTTTTTTATTCTTTGGAGACTCCCTTCCATAGAAATCCATGCCATTCTTAGCCGTATCTTGCCACTGGCCGTGTGTAGCCTGGTAACGAGTGTTCCACTCTTGTTTGAACACTTGTCGTAATCCATTAGGTATGATGTGTGTGGTGACTTTACAAACCCGGAAGTAGTTTAGATCTTCCTCCCTGTATTTCATTGATGTCATGGCTGCTATGAAGAATTAAACTGTCACCAATAACTGAAAGGATAATACATGCAAAATTAAAATGACTATACACTCTAGTGGCGACTTTTATGAAGGGTAAAGTTGCGAATTTCTCCCTTGTGCATAAACCATAAGAGAGGGTAAAAATATGAGAATTAAATAATGTACATGCACAATATTTCTGACAATGACATAATTATATAACAAAATAGTTTTTTTATTATTACAAATTACTCGGGGTTAATGTGGAACGGCCCGAATCATAAAATGCAAGCCGTTTTTCTTGTGCGGCTGTGATGCATCAAAGGCTCAGGTCTACGAATATTTGCTGATTGTCTTTCCGAGTACAAAAAAATTTCTCAGTACTACTCATGTTCTCCACTTGCTGGGAACTGGGAACGCATGCTCCACGTTGGATTGAATTGAAAATGGCGTCTAAAGATAGGTATTGTTACTTGTGTGGGTTAAAAATAAGATAAAATAAGATAAAAGACTAATTATGGATCTAAGAATTATAAAGCTAATTTGTACTTAGAAATTAAGCGATTTAAAAAAGAGTTTATAAAACGATTGGCGTTGACTTTTGGCTTGTTGCTTTCTTATATCTTAGATTATATTCAGTACCTGGAGGAATAGTGGTAGATAGATAAAATGTTCTGAAACCCCCTGGAAGCATTAGATATTATGTAAGCCGGCAAGTACTCGTTCAGCTTTATTATACTTTGATTTACCCTTTTYTATCTTATAGTTGCATCACCTGGGGAAATACTTATAAAACTTCTCTTCAGCCTCTTATTACTTTACAAAAAAGATAGTGAGAATAATTACCCTTTCAAATCATGACTCTCATTCCAGTCCACTCTTTTTCAGTCTAGGAATACAGTACTTAAATTGGAAGACTTGATATACTCAAATAGTGCTCTTTTTATGTATGACTATAATTCAAACAGACTACCAAATACCTTTATAAACTTTTTTAAAAACATACATGAAGTACATCAATACAACACTAGATTGGCATCTAAAAAAACATATTATCTTCCCAAAATAAGAACCAACTATGGAAAATTCAATATTCGCTTTAATGGTACTAAAATATGGAATGCCATTGGAGAATCTCTCAAATCTATGACTCGCAACCTTTTCAAAAAAAATCTTAAAGCCTCTATAATATCAAATTATCGATAGTTCTATGATGCACTTCTAGTCCAGCTGATAGGAGCACAGCCCATTTTGTCTTGTCTAATGTCTTGTGTTGTCACCAGCTTATCTTGTCTTGTCGTCTTTTGTTTTTGTCTTGTCTTTGTCCATTGCTTTAGTCAATCAGCAACAAATAGATTTTCTCCGCATGGCCCAGCCACTTAGCTCGATTAGCTATTGCTATTTCTAATTGGCTGTGCTCTTATCACCTGCAATTTCAACTATAATTATTCATATCTGTAAACTATTGAGCACAATAAAGATTGATTGATTGATTGAGTTCTGTTTTCAATAAAGTATTGGACTCTAAAGGTCTAAAAAAGCAAACGGAGGTATAAACATCGTTTTTTTGTTTGAGTTTTATTTTGACTTAGATTTACTGGCAGTGGGGTTGCTTTGTTAACCTATACGCCGCTCTTAAACTGAAAACTTTTCATGCACAAAATGGCGGACACTGAAGTTCAAGTTAACTTTAGTAGCTAGTGCAAGCTTGAGACAGATGCTGATATAGTATTTCAGTAAGAGTTTGTAGAAATGTAGAAAATTAAGATATTATCAAATGCTCTAATTGCTATACGTTACTAAGATCTTGTCTTTCAGTTTGTTTTATGGATTTAGTGTGTGCACTCTACTGTTTTGTGTTACTTTTGTGATCTGTTATTTCAACTCCATAACAATTTTGCCCCAGGGGCTGGTGGAATATAGGGGTATTTTCTAAGAAACCTTGCCCCATTTCTGGGGAAATACAGATAGCCTCTAGGCTCAAAGCAAAGTCCCCATATTTTCCCAGGGTCCCCCCTCGTGGAAGCGGATGACAAATGCATAAGAAGATTACCGGGGCATTTTCTTTACCAAGCTTCAACACGTTCAAAGCCAAAAGGAGTCTAAGAGAACATCTTTCTTCATAAGAAAGAATAAAAAGAAAAAATAGAGGAGAAGGAGGTTACTATCCAAGTGGGGATCATGAAGGATAAAGAAGTCATTATAAAGAGGAGACAGTCTGCCATCGGAAATTGCTGCCATCTTCGGGTAGCGAGGAAATTAAGCATGCTGCCATTGCAAAGCACAGTGCCTTCGATAAACGATTTAATGGTATCAAGTATTCTAACAGCTTCTGTTCCACATTTGGGGCAAAACTTGAAAATTGAGTCTAAAGATCAGTATTGCCACTTCTCTTAAACCCACACAAGCAACAATACCAATCTTTAGACGCCATTTTCATTTCAATCCAATGTGGAGCAAGCAGAGAACATGAGTAGCGTAGAGTCCACTTGAAAAATATTTTTGTACTGGGAGATGATTTTGAGAAATATTTTTGTACTGAGAAATATTTTTTGTACTGAGAAATATTTTTGTACTGGGAAATATTTTTGTACTGAGAAATATTTTTGTACTGAGAAATATTTTTGTACTGGGAAATATTTTTGTACTGGGAAATATTTTTGTACTGAGAAATATTTTTGTACTGAGAAATATTTTTATACTGAGAAATATTTTTGTACTGAGAAATATTTTTGTACTGGGAAATATTTTTGTACTGGGAAATATTTTTGTACTGGGAAATATTTTTGTACTGTGAAATATTTTTGTACTGGGAAATATTTTTGTACTGAGAAATATTTTTGTACTGGGAAATATTTTTGTACTTGAAATTATATTTTGGTATTGGGGAATATTCTTACTGTCTGGCATACATATCTGTGGGCTGAAATACACATTTTTGTACTGACATTAATGCATGAGTCATTTGA